AGACTGGGGCTATATCTCTGTATCTCAGTTGGTAGCATGTTCATCTAGCATGTACAAAGCTTTGTGTTTTGTCCCTAACACCACAGAAACTTGGCTTGGTGGAGCACACCTGTAACCCCCTAGCACTGGAGAGGCAGGACAGAGGATTAAGAATTCAAGGCCATCTGGCTGCCTAAAGACTTCAAGGACAACATAGACTATATGAGACCCAGTCTCAAAACAAATGTTCAGAGTTAATTATTTAAATGAAATTCTCAGAAGGCTGAATTCAAAATAGTTTCAGCTGATCTGAAAGCTGGTGTTCCCAAAATAAGCAACACTTACCTTCTACGATATTTCTGGAAAGGAGGTGTAAGCATTTGAGTTTAAAAACTAGGAATAGAAGATCTTTTGGAGAACTCGAAATACCTACAAGTTCTTCCTCAAATCCTTGAACTCTCCTGAGATCTGAGATAAAGATTTTAAACATTTCTTTGCCCCTGTAGGTTCTTCATGATGTCACTCTGCTTCAGACTAAACTTACATATATCTCAAAAAACTCTACTTTACGAGCTGAGATGCCTCTGTCCTGTGTTCTGCACAGGTGAGTACCATATGTGGGGCATCTGTACAAGGCCCCAGCTTTCCCTTGACCCTCTAGATAAAAGACTTAAGTCTTAAATGTTAAATTATACAACCTAGGGTGTGTGGGTGGGTGTGGTGGTGGTGGGAACCAAAGCCTAACAGGAATATGAATTTCTTTATCCGTGGCCCTGATCTTCAAAATTACAATTGTCTCCTAGAGTGTTAGAATGCTGGAAAAGAGGAGATGTATCCACTTTTCTAATACTAGTGTCAGGATGGCTGGAAACGTCACAGGTATCACCCAGCTAGTCAAGGCAGGCTGCTGTAAAAATAGTCCACATTCAAGTTTACTGAGGACAGAAAGAAAAAAAGCCTGGAAGATACAGAAATATATCAGAAAAATCAAGGTCAGCAAGCAGCATGGGTGGGTTGGGCTGAAGACATAGGGAGAGGGAGCAGATTTAAATCTGACTCATGGGGTGAGATTCATCCATCTTCTTTTTGTATCTTATTAGTTGACCCATTTGAGAAAGCCCAAGGTATATAGCTCATTAGCAACATTGATCAGGTCTTAGCAAAATTATGATAAGCTTGGCAGGGTCTACCCATTATCCTCCATTTCCCCCTTTCTGCAAATGCCCTTTCTATCCAAATAATACTTCTACATTCATGTTCTATGTGTATGATTCAGGGTCCACATATGAGAGAATAATTCAATATTTTTATTTTGAAACAAATTTATTTTCCCTTCAAGTAATTATTGAAGCCATATTACATTTCCCTTCATACAAAGAGTAATACCTACCATAGCTGCTAACATTTTAATGCAATATTTAATTAATTCTTTGAGAATTGCATGCAATGTATTTGTAAAATATTCATCCCCACTCCTACCCTATTTCCTCCCACCTCTCTATCCATTCTCTAACATTGTGTTCTTTTTAAATTAAAAAACAAAACTCATTGACTCCAATGTGTGCTGTTAATATACTCATGGGTGTGGGGTCATCCACTGGAGTATGCTTGACCTACCAGGAGTCAAGCCCTTAAAAAAATACCTGACTCTGCCTCCCCAGATGCCATCAACTGTCTATGGTTCCTCAATTAGGGGTGAAGGCTCACAAACTTCTTCCTATTTCATAATGCCATATGACTTGGCTTGATCTTATGCAGCTCTGGTTAAGGTAACCACAGGTACTGTGAGCTCACGAGTGCAGAGGTCCTGTCAGTTTTAGAGACACTCTGTCTGGTCTTCCCTGACATTTGGCTCTTACCATCTTTCCACACCCTTTACCTTTATAGTCTTTATGTGTGTATGACGGTGGTATAAATGACTCATTTGTGGCTGATCATTCTACCGATGCTTGTTTTCTGCATTTGATCAGTTGTGAGTTTCTTTCTTCCTATGTGTCCAGGCTGAGAGAGCATCCCTTCACGTGGGATGGGCTCTCAAAGTCCCTTCTTACACCAGGGAAAAATACTGATCCACTACCAGGGGCCCCATAGAGTGCTGAGGCCTCCTCATTGACATCCATGTTCAGGGGTCTGGATCAGTCCCATGCTGGCCTCCCAGACATTAGTCTGGGGTCCATGTTCTCCCCCTTGTCTAGGCCAGCTGTTTCTGTGGGTTTCACCAGCCTGGTACCCACCCCTTTGATCTTCATTCCTCCCTCTCTGCAACTGGGTTCCAGAGTTCAGTTTAGTGTATAGCTGTGGGTGTCTGCCTCTGCTTCCACCAGCCACTGGATGAGGGCTCTTGGATGACATATAAAATAGTCATCAGTCTCATTATAGGGGAAGGGCATTTAGGGTATCCTCTCCACCATTGCTTAGATTGTTAGTTGGTGTCATCCTTGTAGATCTGATCAGTTGTGAGTTTCTATGTTAACCACTGCCCACTACAACTAAGATTTTAAAATCACATATCATAAACCTATGTTGTTGTAAGTGATTCACGTGAATCAGTGCATCTACTAGTTACTGGAATTTGGCCTTGAGTACAGCCTTCTAAACTCTAAGATCTCAATAGATCTTTATCCCCCTGTGATATTTCTCTTTTTCCCCCCCTCACTTTTAGTCGGTATCCTCTTTTATGTGAAGCTGAAATTAGAGGAGATTTCACTGGCAATCCTCCTGAATGGGAAGTAGATATGACAACAAAATCTGTTCCTGAAGTGCCAACAAAGTAAGGAGACACCAAATTAATATTTTACAGCTTTTGTCAGACATGATTAAATATGCCAAGATAACAGCTAAGTTCATTTCCCATTTGACTAAAGAACAGCTTCTAGATCAGGCCTTCCTGTGTTTCTTAAAATTGTTAGTGATGATAGTAGTCTTGCTAGTCTGTTACTAGTCAGAGACGCCATAGGAATTAGAGATGCCCCTCTTGGGTCCTGTGATAGCTGGTCTTACTTGAAGACTGCAGTCTGGGAGACATGCCTCTGGGTGTATCTGTAAGGGTGTTTCCAGAGATTAACCGAGTGGAGTAGGGCTAGTCCTCAAAGTGGGTGGAACCTATGTTGAGACCTACCAATTGGTGGTCCAAGGAAGAAGGAGTGTCACCTAGATATCCTTCTTCCTGGAACATATTTATAGTTGTCACCACTGTCCTCTGATGACATCATATTCTGTCTCTTCAGCTATTCAACATCAAGTGAAGAAGACTATTTTTACCAGGACTACCAGATTCCTGGAACCAGCTGTCTGAAGCCTGTTGAAGTATGTAGCTTCATGAATCAGAAGTTGTTATTTCTACATTTCTCAGGAATGCAGATGGTTGGATGACATTTTCTTTCATCCATTTTTTTAAAAAGTGACTAATTTGCAATTTTAAATAAAATGGCATGCTACCTTCATATAGTTTCATTTTAAAAAAGCTGTCCCTGCTTTTAGCTGTATCAAGTCTGATTAGTGAATAAAAATCTTCCATTAATGCTGCTTCTTTTTTTTTTTCCGAGACAGGGTTTCTCTGTGTAGCTTTGGAGCCTATCCTGGCACTCGATCTGGAGACCAGGCTGGCCTCGAACTCACAGAGATCCGCCTGCCTCTGCCTCCTGAGTGCTGGGATTAAAGGCGTGCCCGGCTGCTTCTGTTTTTTGAAGGACTAATATGCATCTTATTAAGAATAACACTCATAATTATTTTTCTTAAGGGTTTTTACAGTGATATTTTATATTTTGAGAGTTTCATGTATGTAGACAATGTATTTTGATCGTATTCAGCACCCTATTCTTCCTCTTAGCTCCTCCAAGACCCATCCTCCAAGTTCTTTACCGCTTTCCAACTTCTCCTTTAAAAAAAAAAAAACACCCCAAGCTAGCAAGTCTAATTAGTGCTGCCCACATACTAAAGGTGTGGGGCCTTCTATTGGATCCTGATTGACATTCCGGGTGCTATGCCCTTAAAACCTGATTTTTTTTCTCCCCCAGAAATGATCAGCAGGCAATAGCTCCTAGTTAAGGGTGGAGGTTCCAGAGCCCCTTCCCTCTCCATGCTGGGATACGGACTGATTTGATATTGTAGAGGTTTTATGCAGCTGCTGAGAGTCCATGAGTACAAAAGTCATGTCATGTCCAGAAGACACTGTTTCTGCCTGGTCCTCCCTGACCACTATACACAGAAGAACTAGTGACTGACTGACTGGTCCTGTTTGACTCACATTACTTCATCTTTCCTTTACCTTCCCTCCAATTATTTCCATTTGCATGTGTCTTAAGTGGTGTAGGAACAGTGACTAGACAGTGATGATGGAGCAGAATGGTGGCTGGAATCTGATATCAACCCCTTAGTAGCTCTATATTTTGGTACTCGCATGGTTCATATGTACATTAAAGTTTAATAAAATGGAATCAAATTCCCATCAAATGGAAAACTCAAGTCTTTTGATTGATTGTTAGGATAAACCAGTGGTTCACAACCTTCCTAATGCTGTGACCCTTTAATGCAGTTCCTCATGTTGTGGT